TCTAGGCACCTCATTGTCTTGGTTGCAACCTCGGAGCAGGGCCAGGGAGGTTGACCTTGTAAATGATTCCCTGCCAAAAATTAAAGCCGTCAGCGAAGAACCGGCGACAAAAACGGTATAGTAATTCAAAGACTAAAATGGTTTTAATTAAAGGTATAATTTTTTTATAGCAAAAAGTCCACAATGGTAATAATATACATAGCGAAGCCTTCAATTTCTTCCGATTTAGGCTAGATGGAAGTAAAAAAAGGCAATCCCAACGGTCAAAACCCATGCTACAGCGGGTCTCTCTTTAAGTCTAGAGGGCCGGCACTAGATTTATTGCCAAGTCTCCTGTTTGAAGTTTTTTAGCCCTCATTTAATTTTTTCAAATAGCTGGTTTATACCGCTACCATTCATCTGATATTGATTTTTTTTTTTTTTAATGTGATATTGGACTATACAGTAGAAGATGATTTTCTCCTGTTTCATACCCGCGTGTGTGTATATATATAATTTCATTCATTTTTAAGATTAAAACTTCTTTTAATCATTAGGATATCTTTTAAAAAATTCGCCCGTATATTGATTTTAAATTCATGACTAAATCTCTTAATTCTTTTACTAATCATAGACAACCTTCCTTTTCTTGTTTCATTCTTTAATCTATTTAAAATCTTATTTTAATGATATGGGTTTAAGCTTTTAAAATCAAATGATAATCTAATTAGATGGTAAAACTTAATTTCATCTACACATTAATATAGTGTTGATATTGCTTATATATATATTTTTATAATTATATAAATCAATTGAATTAAATCTTAAAATTTAATTCTATTGCTTATATACTTTGGCTTCTGAATTTGTAATACAATTAGATATATATTATATTTAATTTAGCTAAACTAACAGAAACAAGGTGAAATTTTGATAAATTTGAATAATTCAGTTCTTTTTTTAATTTAAAAAATATATACTTTTTTAGATTGATCCCAACAATCAACAATGTTTAAGACTTTTGAAGTCAAAAAGTGCTAAGTAGGAATTAAGATTATTCCCACTTGATTCATTGCTTTTTCTGTGGCTAGGTCCATACACGTTTATTTCCTTTTCCCTTAGCTAGATCCATGCACGTTCATGATATATTATGGCATGGCCATTCTATTGCATTAATATTTGATCGATGGGACCTGTCATTTTCAGTTTGTTTAAAAAGCTGAGGGAAAATAAACGAAATTATCAAATCTTTAAAAGCACTCATGTTGATGTATAAATAAATAAAATATATATATATATATATATATATATAAAACTTGAATGAACAAACTTATTTTTATAAATAAATGTGGTGTTTTTTATTCATTCAAATAAAAAATTAACTAAAAAAAATGAGATAATGAAGTTACAGTGCATCAAAAGTTCAAGCAAATGACCTGTGGCACTGAAACTTGATCCTTGTTCCCACAAAGCTGATCAGACGATGCATATGAACAGAAAAAAATTCAAGGCATGCAGAAGAAAATTGAAAACAAGACCCAGCTACTATTTTTCCAAAACATGTGTGATAAATGTGTGAAATAATATAACAATCCCATCATTGCTTATCTCAAGAAAATTCTAAACAGATTCCAAATGAAATGAGTTACTATCAGATATATAGACATTTTAGTTTGCATATGGAAATTGTGGTTACAACTCACAACCTTTCTGGGAATCACTATCTCTCTCTTTTAATTACTCTGATTAAAAATATTGTAAAAGCCATTTGAAAGAATTAGATTTCAACAACAATACGGAAGACTTGGTAAATATTCTTGGACACAAATTTTAAACAAAATAAACTTATTCATTCATGTAAATTAGAATTATGAACATATATTTACTAATTTGCTGATTTTAGTGCAATTGGGCATATGGTTAATTAGGATTTAGAGACCTTATCAAGAACTTTTCTTCCCTAAATCATCAATAAAAATAAATAATAATTAATGGGCTGTATTTTATGGGAGCTATATAGCCAGCCTATCGGCTTGACGAAAATTGTCTAATTTTGCAAAATTTTCTTCAAATGGCACAAATTTCCAACTTAGTTGGTAACATTATATAATTCAGCAATATTAATTTTTGGGCTGTTAATGTTTGACTTGATTGCAACAAAATTGGTACCGTAGTATATAGTTTAAAGAAGAAAGTTGAATTATTAAAAGAAGTCATTAACGGACTATAGGCTATAAGTCAATAATGTTTTTGGGTACGCGGCATGCCTAGCTTGCATGTATATAGTTATTAATTATTTTTTTTTAATAAAGTTTCAGTTTGAAAAAGTGATTGTAAATATTGTAAAGTGTAAATTGAATTTTAAAATCATTAAATGCTATGTTTAAAAGTAATTGTAATTTATATGAATCAATCGACTTAAATTTTAAATTTAATTTGTATATATATAATAATTTTTTTCATGTAAAGAAATATAAAAGTTGAAAAACTTGTGCAATTTGTATTTGCCAACATCCAACTCTATTTAAATATAAATTTGACATTATTAGGATAAAGTTGTAATTAAAACCATGATTTGGATCCCATTCGTGAAACCAAAAGAGTTAATATTTTCAACTTATTTTAAATAAAATTAGATAGAACATTTTTAAAAAAAAATCTATATTGTACACACATTTTCAAAGTAATGATTTTGTTGATCAAAAGAGTTGTTAATAGTGTCAATTTTTTTTCCACCCATTCAAACTCAATTTTCATTATTATTTTTATTATATTTTCTAAAATTCAATAAAAAGAAAAAATAAAGATTTAAAAATAACAAAAGTAACAAAGCACTTTTTTGTAAAAAAAAAAAGCATTTTAACCTTAATAATTACTTATGATATTATTACTTATTCAACTCATTATTCGCATGTAAACAATTTTTATGAAAGATCATTTGACAAAGAATAAATAAATAAAATCTGAAAATATCCTTAATTAATCGTATATTATAAAAATAAATAAGAGCATAAGTTATTATCACAAGTATGAACTAAACTAGATAAGAAGCCAATGTGGTAACTATAACGTTTTATGCATTAATGCCTATAACCATACTAAGCAAACAACTTGTTAATATATAGTTGCGACCACATATATTATTAATTTTTTTACGTAAATTGTATTGAAATTGTAAGAGTATTTATATTATAATATAATAAAATTTAAAATTTAAAATTTAATTCAATTGATTTATATAATCATTTTTATAAAATAGTATTTAGCATATCCGATGTTTAAATCTCATAACTATAATAATTTTTCCTATCATTAAATTGTGATTGTTTCTAAAAAAAAAAAAGTTAAAATATTACAAAATTGAAAACTGGTCTTTAGCACTTATAAAATTTTTTTGTCCTATTTTTCTAAATTTTGATCTTACTTGTAAACAAATAAAGAGAATGAAAACCAATTGAAAATGGATCAATTTATATCATTTTAAAACTTTTCTGTTTTATATTTTTTATAATTATTGATTTTAATAGATTTAAAGATGAGATTAAATTATTTTTTATTTGTCTCAATTTTAATAAATTTAAAAAATTAAATTAAATTATTTCCTTTTAGTTTATCTTTTTCATTCTTAAATCTATTAAAATAAATAATTAAAGAATTTTACAATGATATAAATTAAGCCCTCTTTAAACTAAATAAACAGTTTTATACTTTTCTTAGCCCGTGTTTTCTTGTCCAGTAAGCTTGTGGCTTTATTTCCAAGAAAATTAATATTGGAAAAGTTAAACATCGACTCATCAAATTATTGACTAAATAAATTTATAATTGATGTATGATTGATATATAAATTTTATGTGTTATTAATAAATAAGATAATATCATCTTATTAATGAAGTTAGTTAAATATTAATATTTTATTAATAAATAAAATTTTTAAAAAATATTAATTTTTATATATTTATTTTAAAAATTAATATTTACTCATTAAAAAATAATATTATTAAACTTATTAATAATTTATAAAATTTATATATTAATAATACATCAAATATAAATTCAATATATTATATTAAATTAAACATTTTCGGACATAAGAATTTCATGATATATCTGCTTACGTGCTTTTATTTTGATGTCTAATATCTTAAATCATCACGCTTGGCTTCCCTCGACTTGATATTGCTCTTTTTAGAGTCTCCAGTCAAAAACATTTAATGTAAATAAATTATGTGTTTAGTCAATTTTGTATTACTTGTCCCGATTAAATAATCACTAAATTGTTCAACAAACTATTTCAAATTTATAAGAAATTTCTTTTTCTATTTACTTGCATTTTTTCGTTAGCAATTTTGAAAAACAACATCATTATTAAAAAAAATGTTAAAAAATTTTATTAACATTTTTTAAAACGATATTTATACAATAAAAATTTCTAACTAATTTATTTTTTTTATAACTTTGATAAACAAATGTATTAAATAAAAATTTATTTTTTAAATTGCTAAAGAAATTATTAATTACTACATATAATTCAAATATATTATTCTTATAAAATAGTATATTAACTAATCCTAAAATTGAGTAGAGAAATTTTTATTAAATTAATAATATTTCAACTAATCTTAGCAAGTATATAAAAATACATGTTAATTAAACTTCAAATTTGTTTTTGTTTTATTTTTATAAAACAGGACGTAATTTCAATATAAAAAACAAATTATAAAAATTAATATTGAAATTTCAAATTTACTTTATTTTTTGAGAATAACTTCACTAACCATCTGGGAAACCGGGGTTAAACTTTTGTTTTAGGACACTTTCAATTACTTTTTAAAAAATATTTTCTGTGATAGTTTTCTGCGGATGCCACGGAATTGGGTTACAAAGGAAAGAAATGTGTACCGCGTAAAGGTGAATTGTCTTAGTCAAAAAAGTCAAAAGTCTAACCCCATGTTCTTCCCTGCCAAGCTACGGCGCCGTCCATCCAACGTCTATATATTCCCCACCCAAAACCCCACCTGTCACCTTCATTTTAACTCAAAACTCCCCAATTTCTTATTAACCTCTGCCGCCAACAAAAACCAAACAACCAAAAATAGCTTTAAAGCACTTACCTCCTTATCATCTCAAAAAATGCCGAGAAAGGGAATGAGGAGCCTTTGCTTCAGCCCCAGAACGCCGTCGTTTTCCGTCTCTCGCCATTTCATGTCACCTTCAAGAACTTCGCTATCCAGTACTCCTCGCCGTAGATTCACCGAATCCATGATCGAGCAAACCATCGACGCCGCCGCTACAATCATCATGAAATGGGATGCTGAAACGTCAGCTTACGCTAGAGTGACCTCTCTTTTTTACGAAAGCAAAAGAGAAGCCATGCAGTTCATCAGATCCGTCAACGAGCTACAAAAAACCATGCATTTGTTAGTTTCTGAACAAGATTCCCGTTCGGAAAAGCTCATTCAAGCTCAAAATTTGATGCAAATCGCAATGAAGAGGCTTCAAAAAGAGTTTTACCAGATTTTATCAATGAATCGGGCTCATTTGGATCCAGAATCGGTTTCCGCCCAATCATCACGGACCTCCACAAGATCAAGCACGTCGGATTTCGAAGATGACGGTTCACGGGACGATGAGATCCGCACCGCAGGGAATTCCATCTCTGAAGTAGAAGAAGTTTCTTCTATGGCTATGTCCGATTTGAAATTGATAGCGGATTGCATGATCGCTTCTGGTTACGCTAAAGAATGCATGCATATTTATAAAATAATTCGAAAATCGATTATCGATGAAGGTATTTATAAGCTCGGAATCGAGAAAATAAGCTCGTCTCAGGTTAATAAAATGGAATGGGATGTACTGGATTTGAAAATCAAGAACTGGTTAGAAGCCGTGAAGATTTCAACGAGGACGCTTTTCACTGGAGAAAGAATCCTCTGCGATCAAGTGTTTGCTTCGTCGGATTCCATCAAAGAATCTTGCTTTACGGAGATTTCAAAAGAAGGAGCCACGCTTCTGTTTGGATTCCCCGAGCTAGTTGCCAAGACAAAAAAATCGCCGCCAGAGAAAATGTTCCGTGTTCTCGACATGTACACGGCTATTTCAGGGGACTGGCAAGAGATTCAAACAATCTTTTCTTTTGAATCGACTTCAGCCGTCCGATTACAAGCTCTTAACTCGCTGGTTCGACTCAGCGAGTCAGTGCTGTCGCTGTTGATGGATTTTGAGTCCACAATCCAAAAGGATTCGTCGAAAGCGTTGATTCCTGGAGGCGGCCTGCATCCCCTAACAATCTACTCGGTGAATTACCTCACTCTCCTCGCTGATTACAGCAACATCCTCACCGACATTATCTCAGATTGGCCACCACCTGCGAAATCATCGTTACCGGCATCTTTCTTCTACAGTCCTGATTCCGAAGAATCTCCAGCGCCGGCGATCTCCGTCCGCATTGCCTGGCTCATCCTCGTCCTACTCTGCAAACTTGACGGCAAAGCAAAGCGTTACAAAGATGTCTCATTGTCATACCTATTTTTAGCCAACAATCTCCAACATGTAATCTCCAGAGTCCGTACGTCGAATCTCCAGTACTTGCTCGGCGAAGAATGGATCACAAAACACGAAGCTAAGGTCAGACAGTTCGCGGCGAATTACGAGCGGTTAGCATGGGGCCACGTGTTCGCTTCATTGCCAGAGAATCCAACGGTTTCGATGACACCGGGGGAAGCTAAAGAGTGTTTCAGGAAATTTAATTCAAGCTTTGAAGATGCGTACCGGAAGCAAAGTTCTTGCATCGTACCCGATTCGAAATTGCGAGACGACATTAAGGTTTCCATCGGGAGAAAACTCGTCACAGTATATCGGGAGTTTTACAATACGCATAAATCAACGGTTGGTGATGAAAGGAGCGCGAGATTATTTGTCAGATTTTCCCCTGAAAACGTAGGGAATTACTTGTCGGAATTGTTCTTTGCGACGGTTAGTTCCGGAAGTTCATCTATGTCTTCTTCCACGTCTTCTCATCATCGGCGGCATAAGCGGTCACCTTTAAGAATGTAGAAGTTTTTTTTTTTTTTTTTTTAATAAAAAATTATGACGATTTTTTTATAATCGTCAAAATCGGCTGTCTTTTTTATGCAGTTGTATAACGACTTTTTTTAAGTTTTAACGGCTTTCTTATGTGTGTGTTATTGATAAGATTGGCCGTTCACATCGGTTTATTGTGTATACAGCACAGATTTGAGATTCATATCTCTTTCTGCTCATTGCTGATTTTACGTACTTCAGCTTGAGAATACAAATTCGTATATAAAAATAAAAAGAATCAGTTATTATTATTATTATTATTAGATTTAATAAATTCATAAAAAATATATTTTTATCGTCTTTTGCCTAATTCGAACTTGAGATAGTAAAAAGAAAACAATATTTCTTTGCCATTTTGACTGACAGTATTTTATATTTGAGAAATCAAATTTGTATTCATCTAAAGAATAGAGTTGTGCATACTCCTAGAACCAGTGATTACTCCTTCCTTTTTCGTAGGTATACGAAACTTTTCTTTATTGAATAATCATGATCATTATTTAAGTATATTTTGGTGTATATGTTTTGAAGATTTTGCTTGATCATTTCATTTGACAAGGACAAGTGCACGTATTTTTCGGTTTAAAGCAGATCTCCTTTTCTACTGAAGTAAAAAAAAAAATAATAATAACAAAACAAACCCATGTTTTGGATTCACTAAATCAATCAAAATATGGTATGGTCGACATTTCAATTTAAAATTATCTCGAGTTATTCAAATTAAAAGTTTTTAATGCGACAAGTATGATTTTGTGGCGCTTGACCAGTTTCCAATATGAAAAAGAGTTTAACCAGTTGCCAATTGCCAGTCAAATAAATTAAAAACAACTGCCAATATAGTTAAAAAAAGAATAGAAGAATAAGCTGATTACACAATTGTCATGCATTCCTTCTTAAAAAAATAACATATGAAGCGACATGCATGATTAATATGTGGTCACCCTTTTTTTGTGGGCAGCAAGAGGCTTTCCAACGGATACGACCTACCTTTAAAACGCCGGGCCGCAACCAACAAGATTTATGTGGAACTTTATACTTGTCTGAGTTCTGGAGAGATTTTAATTTCAACCCAACTTCCAGAACTCATCGATCATCACCCCAGCATCATAATTCATTGAATGCAACAGTAATAAGAGTAAAGTTTTATAAATAAAATTATAATTGTATATCATATGGTCGGCAGACTACAATTAACTGAACCTAATGCTAACAAAGTTGCCATGATCAAACTGTTGGCATCCTACGTAGTAAAAACCATGTCCCCTTGAACGAAAAGCAAGATCATAAATTGTCACAACATAATATAACGTTACGTTGAAGTTATTATGATTATGTCCTATGGATGCAATTTACACAAGGCAACTATTAGTTGATAGTATTGGAAAAGAGTTTAGAATCTTTCAAGGTTATTGCAGCAGCGAAAACGTCTGAGGCAAAATCAGCTACGAGGCTGCCTCAGCCGGTCGAGGAACAGACTGCCATCCTGTACAGTGCTGAATAACATGCTTAAGTGCATCTGTTGGAGCTTCCACTGTCCATGTAGGGTAGTATTCGCTTGGATGAAACACGTTGGACATAACATTCATCAACCCTGCTTGGGTTCCTACTGTAAACAAATCCCCTTCAGACTTTATGCAGCCAGTGCAAGCCTCATCCCTGTCAGTAGCCTGTATAACCAATACATTGACCAATATTTTCTATTAATTAAGTGTCAAAGGATGTATTGAATGTAAAATTTGAGTATTTTTCAGAAAATAAATGAATGCCACAAACCTATTCCTTAAAATATGCTTTCTTCATTAACCAAATCTTGCATCAGCAAAACCAATTAGAAACTAGTACTCCGCAACAATCCTGGACATGGCTTTAAGTTATGCTGTTATTTTTTAAATGGATCATACAGACATCTCATTATTCCTCTGCTTGTTGTAACTAATATTGCTGGCATCCAAAGATCCTTGTTTCTCTCACAAACTAATATAACAGCTCAAACAATCATAAAATTGTCAATATAGGATCTTCTACACTTCTTTTCTGCCTCAAAACTTGAGTGCACATCATTAATTATGAGGTGAAGGGGTGTTGTGCTCATAAGCCAGAGGCCCATTTTAAATTACTTTTAAGTTCCCAAGGAGAATTCATTCTTTCTAGGAGGAACTGTCACTGACATTCTAGACGGTTTGAAGATCAATTGATGATATATGGAGGAGAGTTTATAGCTTCTCGACCTAAGGCAATGGCTAAAATGGCTTCCACAGCAAGACTTACAAGGAATATTAAGAGAGTTAAACCCTTTTCTTCTTCAAGAGTCATATAATGGAGATCAAATAGAAAGCAATCCTTCCTATTGCATCAGTATTTTGCTCAATATAAAATCATGCAAAATGATTTCTCTTTACCAAGTAAACTTCAAATACTTATCCAGAAGCAAAACAAGAGGAGCTACCTTTTCAGTAAGATACTTGAAGGCCACCTTCTTCAGCCTTGCTTCATATATATTGCACTGAGAGTATATCTGATGTCAAATATTAAATAAAACTGTTATCTTTCTCCAAGTAACACAACATATTGAAATAATGAAACCTTTGAAGAAGTTTAAGCAAAAAAAAAATTTAGAATGGTACAAGAACCATCACCTGTGATTCCACACTGGCACAAACAGCATAAATGCCCCAGTTTCTAGTGTAATTATTGTATAAATGTACCTTCCCAAATCTAACACGAGGATGCCGTTGCCGAGTCCCATCAAAAAAGCAATGATGAATAGTTACCCGGATACATCTATCACCGACATGAGAGGGGTCTGCTCCAATAAGCATTGTCTTGTCATGCTGAGAAAAGTGACACCTGAGAACCCAGTTAATGAAGTCTATTAGTGTAAATTTTAACCATCCCAAACGGTGGTTACTTTCCTGAAAATAATAAACCATACCTAGAAACAGTAATATCTGTGCTTTGTCGGGTGATATCTATTAATCCATCATCATAATCACGAAGGCTGCAACGGTCTATCCATATGTGCTTGGAGTTGGGTTTTATTTGGATCCCATCAACATCCGGTCCTCTACCACCTTCAAACTCCAAATTGCATATTATAATATGTTCGCATTCCTTCAGCCTCAAGCCCTTCCCCATGAGTTTTATCCTTTGGCCACGTCCATCAATGGTCTTATAAGATGATACATTCAAGTAAGATGAAAGGTTAATGGTTCCAGAAACTTCAAAGACAATCCAAAGGGGTTCTTTTCTACGACAACCATCACGCAATGATCCCGGTCCATCATCTACAATCACAAATCAAAAATACTTTTAGTTTCACTTGGTTAACTAAACAGTCCAAAGTTAAATTCTATAAATGGTTTTCTCTACACAAGGGATTCAATGGCCAATATACAACTCAAATTATCAATTCGAAACTTCTTCCCTAATCAACAAAAGAAGCTTCCCTACTCAAATTCAACTTAAATTGACAAATATTCAAAGTCCTCTGTCTAAAGTCTAAACTTTATGCGAAAACACTGGAAAAAAACCATATTTAATCTGGAATTCTAACAATCTAGCTAAATGAGGCTTCGATTTAAATTTAAAGCCTTATTTCATACACAAACAAACGGAAATCTAAGCACAACCCACCTAACAAAACTTCAATAGTTCCCCAAGGAACAAAAAAGATTTACTTTTTCTTCCAAAAAAAAAACAGCCTCCAGGCATACAACAAGAAGGAAAAAAAAACATTTTTTTAACATTGCAAATAAAATAGAAAGGCGAGTAACTTTACCTGCTAGAGTGGTGACATGGTAGAGAGGACCATGCAACCCACCAATGGCGAAGCGACCAAAGCCCTCGGCCTGGCCGGCAAGGGCTCGAAGACCGGAGTCAACATTAGTATAAGGCAAAGAGAGAGCCATGTGGGGTTGGGTCGTGGAGCTTGGGACTTGGGGTTGTGGTGGTGGACCGTATCTATAATAAGGCGGGATAGGCGTTGGATAAGAGCCAGAGTGATTGTGGTTGTTACGGTTCTTGCGGTGGCCGTGAGCGTTCCCCATTAAAGACGGTAACAGCTCAGGAACGTTAGGAAATTGATTGTTTCGCAACGGACAAAAGAGCTTGTTAGATGTATAGATTGATTGCCTAGAAACTGTCTATCTTGGTCCTGCTCTTGATTCTTTCATGCAACAGTAATTGCCGACAAAATTTTGGGGGTTACTTGTATTCTTTGCCACTGGTAATCTCTCAAATTTAGTCCAACTAGAGCATTAGCAGAAGGCTTAGGAGGACAGCATTTACAGTTTGGCAAAGGGTTTTGCTTTTTTCTTTGTTATTACAGGTTAACGGGCCGTGAAGTCCACTGAGTTAAGGAAGGTCCATATTTTGGGGTTAGTACCATGTTTGATCCAAAAATTTAATCCACATCAAGCCTGATTTTATCCAAAGTTTCAATATAAGTGGCAAAAGGGGTCGGGCAGGTTTGAAGTATTCTGAATTTGAGTTTTTTAAATTAAAAAATCGAAAGCTTAATTTAAGTTTTTGAAGTTATTTTACATTTGAATTCTTTTAATTTATGTTGGAAGTTGGTTTTAATTAAATTAATCATATATATTTTTTATATTTTATAAAAAATATAATCATTTCATGTATATTTCGAGCTTGAATTTTTTAAATTGAAAATTTTTTGGATTTAAATAATTTTTTATTCGGATTTTCTTGATTCAAAGTTTTTAACTTTTATGATAAATTTTGTTGGGAAATGAGTTAAGAAATAACATAAATCATATAAAAGATAAAATACGAAGAAAACATATTATTGCTACCTTGTTTTTTCTTAGGTCGTTATAAGTTAGTTATTACCTCGGACCACATGGCATTTGTCTTTCCCTGAAAGCGTTATTGAGTTTATCCATTTCTGTATGTCATCGTACAATCACAAAGAGACACGATAGGAGTTGGCAAAAGAAAATTTTAAACTAACGACATTACCAAAAAAAAAGAAAAAGAGTAAAAAACATATAGAAAGCAGGTCAGCTCCCAAACCTCCGGTGGCCCCGGTGGTTGACCAGGCAGGCCCGGCAGCTTCATTTCCCAATCATCCTTCTTTCCTCCTTTTGTCCACCCTTTGTTTTTTCAGGGTACAATTTTTTCACTATTCGTTTTAAATTCTTTGCTTTCTCATTTTACCATAAAGCCTCCATCAACGATCAATGGAAATCAAGGAGAAGATGATTTCGTAGTTTTCTCTTCATCGTTTCTTGATGGGGTCTCGTAAAGAAGAAGGTACATTCTCTCTCTCGCTCTCTCTCTCTTTTTAATTTTTTTTATTATCCTTTTGGTTTTCGAGAAATCCCAGATTAAAGAAATGTAAAGGTTGACATTGCATTTATGGATTCTTTTAAAATAGGGGAAAAGATGGAATGTAGATAAATTTTTAGCAATGAAACAGAGCATAGGATCCAGGATTTGATCTATAAGGAATTGTTTTAATATGGTATATTGTAGAATTTATGGATTTCATTTTTTGAACATAAATGAAATGTGCAAAGAATGCGAGAGGGATCTGGAGAAGGGACATTCTCCACCCCCAGCTCAGTTTGCCGAGACAATACCGCCCCCTTCTCCGACGACGCCAAGGCCTGCTCTGATTCTATCCAATTCAGGGAAGGCCTTGGTGGTGTCCAATTCTGGCAAGTCTCTTGCTGGTTCTAATTCCGGGAAGCGATTTGATAAAAAGAAGTACGTGAAACAAGTCACTGGTCGCCACAATGACACTGAGCTACACCTGGCGGCACAGCGTGGTGATGTTGGAGCAATCAGGCTGATAATGGCAGAAATTGATGCTCAGATGATGGGGACACTTAGTGGAGCAGAATTTGATGCTGAGGTAAGTTGTTTATGAAACAATGTATGCATGCCAAAGTCTTACTATGACATTATTGAAGGCCTATATTTTTATCTACGATGTTAAGAGATTTGCCGTTAATGTTGACGGAGCATACTATCAAAAAGGTTGGAATTTCAAGTATAGTCTTGTGACAATCCTGAATGTTATGCCAATTGAGATATGAATTTAAGAATGTTGCAATTCTCATTCTGATCCTGTCTACATGCTTTCTGAACAAGGTGGCAGAAATAAGGTTAGCGGTTGTGAATGAGGTGAATGAGTTGGGAGAGACGGCATTGTTCACTGCAGCTAAGAAGGGGCATTTGGATGTGGTTAAGGAGCTGTTACAGTATACGGATAAGGAGGGCATTTCATTGAAGAATAAATCTGGGTTCGACCCATTGCATATTGCAGCAAACCAAGGTCATCAAGGTATTAGGACTAGTCTTCTCTCTTATTGAGTGTAATGAAGGTTGAAATTGAGTAAAATATATTTAGTTTGAAATTCTTGTACACAGTCATTAAGTTAATGAATCATTAATCATATTTATTCATGCTAGGGGGGAGGGGAGGAGATGAGGATGCGACGAATTTCAAAGGGTAATATAGGTTAACAGAAGAGACTTGTTTCAGAACACCTTCTTTGGTTGGGGGATAAACATTGCGAAGAATTGACATCGTCTTAATGCTATTTCAACATCGAGGTTTCCTTTAATTCAGGCATAAACCACTTAGAATTCTCATGCGGCCAAAACTTAATTGATGATGATCAAAGTCAAGTGCTGATACATGACAAATTGACAATAGGTACTTTTAAAATCAGTGTTTTAGCAAAGGGTCAAAGAACAAGTATGAAAAACTTAATGACTGCCATTTGCTATTTCTGAATTATGCAGGAAACAAAATGATTATTCTGAATGTCTCTTTCTTTTTCAGAGTCAAGATTCTTATTTCCATTTTCAAAACATTGAAACTTTGAGAGGAAAGTAAAATAGGAAACTACATAACCAATCAGATTGTCACAGTGTCCAATTTGATGTTTAAATTGGAAGTAGCTCTCCAAGTGCTTATGACACTATATCTTTCAATTGTGTCCAGTGCATGTTTTTGTTATTCCATGGCTGTGGATGAATTAATTTCTTGTCACAAGTTGCATGTTTCTGGTAGCTTTCATTTATTTTCTTTAGCATAGATTACATCTTAGGATGCTGCAGTTTGTCTCAGTTCAATAACTATCTTTATGCAGCCATTGTCCAGGTGCTATTGGACCACGAACCAGGGCTAATTAAAACAGTTGCACAAGCAAATGCCACCCCTCTTGTATCTGCAGCTACAAAAGGGCATACAGCTGTAGTTAATGAATTGCTCAGCAAAGATCCTAGCTTGCTAGAGGTATCAAAAGCAAATGGAAAAAATCCATTACACTTTGCTGCCAGGCAAGGGCATGCCGATATTGTTAAAGCATTGCTTGACAAGGATCCACAATTGGCAAGAAGGACTGATAAGAAAGGGCAGACAGCATTGCATATGGCAGTCAAAGGGGTTAGCTGTGAGGTGGTGAGGTTGCTTCTTAGGGCAGATTCAGCCATTGTCATGCTCCCGGACAAGTTTGGTAATACAGCGTTACATGTGGCTACTAGGAAAAAACGGACAGAGGTATTGATTAGTGTTACACATTTATATATATTACACAATACTTTTGCCTCTTCAGCCTTATGGGTAGCTATGAGAGATGCAATTTGGCAGCAATGGCCCAAGTTTTCTGTTTCCTGTTACTAGTTGAAGATAAAAACTGGTGTCGAAAATGTCATTTCAAGCGGCATGGTTTTCTAAATACTTAAGGCAGTAGTTCTCTAGTATCTCGTATGGGGTCTCTATGGTTTTCAGTTCTATCTCTGCTGTTTTGAGGGTCTTTATTTTCTTTCTGTCTTTCTTACCAAATTTTGTTTTCTAAATTCATCACTTCTTATGCATGGTAGTTACATTATTGTGTTGGAAATGGGCGAGTAATTAGGATAGCAACATAAATAAATGGCAACCATGGAAAGAGTTAGTAGAAGGCATTGACTAAGTTGTTTCTTGCAGATAGTGAACGAACTTTTACACATGGCTGATACTAGTGTGAATGCGCTTACAAGAGACCATAAAACAGCTCTTGACATAGCGGAAGGGCTTCCACTTTCTGAGGAAATTGCTGAAATAAAGGACTGTTTGTCTCGTTTTGGCGCTGTCAGAGCAAACGAGCTAAACCAGCCAAGAGATGAGCTGAGGAAAACTGTGAAAGAGATTAAGAAAGATGTGCATACCCAGCTTGAACAAACCCGCAAAACAAACAGAAATGTGAACGGCATTGCCATGGAGCTGCGTAAACTTCATAGGGCAGGTATTAACAATGCCACCAATTCAGTCACAGTGGTAGCTGTGCTTTTTGCAACAGTAGCATTTGCAGCTATTTTCACAGTACCTGGGGGTGATAATGACGATGGAATGGCTGTTGTCGTCAGCACAGCATCATTTAAGATGTTCTTCCTTTCTAATGCGACTGCACTCTTCACTTCACTAGCTGTTGTGGTGGTACAAATCACACTTGTAAGAGGAGAGATGAAATCAGAGAGAAGGGTTGTGGAGGTGATCAATAAGCTGATGTGGTTGGCTTCTGTCTGCACTACTATTTCATTTATTTCTTCATCGTACATAGTGGTTGGTCGACATAACAAGTGGGCTGCAATTCTTGTAACAGTTATCGGAGGAGTAATCATGGCAGGAGTTCTTGGCACCATGACTTATTTCGTTGTTAAAAACAAAAGGATTCGAAAAGTCAAAAAGAAAGAGAAGATTTCAAGGAATCAAACACACTCACGGCGTTTATCAGATTCTGATACAGAAGTGAACACAATCTATGCCATTTGATGCCCATACTAATTGGGATTGGCTTATGATGCCAGTACTTGTAACTTGTATACAAGGAAATGAGTGAAGCAGAAAAGGGGGCAGTTTTGTGTTGTAAGCAGCTTTATTCTGTAAATACAAGATCTTGCGATCACAGTAAAGCTAGCAAGTGTTCACCGAAGCTATTGATTCTTTTTCTTTCTTTTTTTTTTTTTTTCAATTCTTTTTCAATAGTTTTGAGGATGAATATAAGATACTGATCTAAACACCTGATCAGGGATTTAAATAGCGGTCACGGTCACGTTTTCAGTCGTGTAGCATTTGTCGCGTTTTTAGATATAACGAAAATAATTACGATCACTGCGGTCATCACAGTCGTGAAATTTTTTTTTTGCACAATTTATTATAAAATGTAATAATTATAATTATAAAAACTCTTATTTAATGATTTTAAAAATAGTTTATGACACTCTATGTTTTTTATTTTCTAAAAAAATTATTCACAAGTTTATTTAGATTATAAAAAGCATTCATATTTGGTTTATCCATAAAATTTTTCTTGACTAAGTTCATATTCAATATTAATTCTAGACAAATCAGATATTAACAAAATATAATATGTTAAATACCAAGCATTTAATTTAATAAAATTACAAACTTAAAAATATAATAAATTCAAATTCCATCAACTACAATTATTGATACATATTTCAAATTTTATCACATGGTAGAATAACGAGGAGGATCAGATTCTCTATCTTCACTTTGAGAGCTAAGTTGACCCCATCTCCATCCTTTAGGCCTTTGTTCTTGATACATTTGAGGTGGAGGATATATTTGAGGATGATACATTTGTGGTGGAGGGTACATTTGTGGTAACTGATACATTTGAGGTGAAGGATATATTTGAGGAGGTGGAGGATACATTTGAGGTGGATAATAATCATATGGAGGTGGATAACCATAAAGAGGTCGAAAATTATGTTGTTTTGGTGGATAATAATGTCTTTGAGTACTAGTAGATGATTCACTATACTCAAAGTTACTAGAATTTGATCTCTCACCTGAAGATGAAGAACCTCTAGAAATTTCATAGTGGTGCTTCTTCGCTTTTCCTTTTGATCGAGTTGTACGTGCACTTTGACCCTCACTAGATTCAGCAAATGGATTTCTTTCGTATTCTGCCATATTAATGGAAAGTCCACCAATAGCAGCAAGCCTAAATTTTCTTCTAAGTGGGTTGTAAGGTCGATTTGCATCCATATTATCACCAAAATTCGTACCATCACCATCACCATCTCCATCACCATCATTATCTAGACTTAAACCACCACCATCATCACTCTAACTTGGTGTTGGACTTGAACTTGAATGAGACACATTCCTTTCTTGAGATTGACGTGATCGTTCAACATTCATTTCATTATCAGAATTATCTGCAGGCAACCAATAAGAGTTTTGACCATCTAATAGAGGATTTTTTTTCTCTTGTAACTATTCTGTTAGTGGATCATCATCTTAAAAAGTATGGTCAAGGCTAATAGGATTAAAACTATTATTTATTTCATCAATGCTCATTCTTTTCTGATGTCTCATCCTCAACCTCATGTTATAATAGGTATATACAAGTTTTTAAAGTCTTTCAAACTTCAATCTATTTCTTGCTTTGGTGTGAATATAGCTAAATGTGCTCCAATTACTTCACAATTTGATGCAGATGTTGTTTGACTAAGCACTTTGATTGCTAGTTTTTGTAATTCAAGAACACAAGTGCCATATATCATCCACCACTCTGTATAAAATTATTTAAATTAAATTTCAATGGGCTATACAATTAAATAATATAAATAAATTATAATTATTTAACTTACTATTTACCTGAATTCATTTGTTTCCAAGCTCTTTGTGCTTGTGGACTACCAAATGTTTTATGCTTGTCTCGAAATAATAACAACTACATCGATTGAAAATACAATAATAAATGAATAAATAAAAAATAATTTAATTTTTAATACATAAAATAAATGTTAAACTTATAAAATAGTATTAAATACTAACTTGATTAATCATTCTGATTTGAGTATCTATCGAAGGTTCTAATCTTTCAATAACTGCTTTTATACATTCTAATGTTTCCTTAAATACATTTGCAGAATGTTTCACTCCAAATTGAAATTGTGGATTTAGATAGTAACCTAAACAAAATTTATAACAATATTATATTAAAGTAATAAAAAATAAATATATAAGCAATTTAAGTATAAAAAATAAACATATTTTTTAAATACCATTTATATTCTTGGTTTACTTACCAGCTGAATGCAAGTCAGAGTGCATGAAACTCCATTTATTGTCAATAATTTTTTCATATTCAGCAGAATAACGACAAGTTTATTGAATTGCTTGTTTAGCTCTATCCACAGCCTCGTAAATAAAGCCCATTGTTGGTTTTTCATCATCATCCACAAGGCGCAACACTTTTACCAAAGGCTCATAAACTTTTATTATATCGCCTGCTTTTTTCCAAAAATCTTTTCCCAAAATGATTTTTTTGACTTCATAAGCAGGTCCTGATTTTTGTTGTCCCTATTTTGAATCTTTAAATTCCTATATATTCATCAATAAATTTTTAGAGTAATATATTTTAAATTAATATTTTAAAACAATAATATCATAAAAAGATGCTAGATTTAAATAGTTGTACTAATTACTATAAAAAGATGCTAGATTTAAATAGTTGTACTAATTACTAAGTACTAACCTTTGAATTGAACATCTCTCTTAAACTTTGCTTTTGCCTCATTATTTCTTTTAATTGTATGAAATGAGTGGCAAATCGGGTAAGAGCAGGACGAAGTATTTTCTTCCCTTGTGTATATTTCTTCATCAAATTAACAGTCCAAATGTGATTGTATATAAACAAATCACTTTCTTTGCATCATCCAAAACTTTTGCCACATTTTTTTCCTCTCAATAACTTCAAGGTACAAGTCCAAACAATGAGCTGAACAAGCTATCCAATACAAATGTTTTCTTTTCTCTATTAGTCTTTTTCCTGCGGTCTTAAGTGTTGCCTAGTTATCAGTGACTATTTGAACAATGTATTTTTCTTCAATTTCTTTCACAACTTCATCTAATAATCTGTAGTAAAAGTTTGTATCTCTACTACGAACACTTGAGACATTATAGATTTCCAAAAAATGGTCCCTTTACTACAATAAACAAGGAAATTAATGATATGCATTTGATTCAAACTATTGGTCCAACCATCACACATCAAAGTGACACCCAATTCATTTCAATAAGCTTTTAATCCATTAACCCATTCATGAACTTGTTGATACTCAGACTCTAAATACACATATGAGACCTCATAAGATGTTGAAAGTCTTACATGTTGGCCAACTTCTGCTGCCACAGAAATTAAATTATGCAACCATGAGGAATTTGCTAATTGAAAAGGAAGTCGATCATATATAAAAAATTTTGATATTGATTTACCCATTTTTCTTCTTAATGTCTTTAGAAATGAATCACTTACTTTTAGTTGTCTTAAATTTTTACTTTTAACCAATTCAGGAATAGCTCCCCTTAATGAAAATTCAGACTCATTTAGAGTTGATTTCCTTGTTCTTTCTTCAAAATATTCAGCAATTGAACCATGAGAGCTTCGTCATTCTTCATATATGTTACTCCAACCACTAGTTCTTTGTCTGAATTCTTGTCTTCTGTGCCACTCATGTTGTGATTGGATACTATCTCGCACAGCTTGTCTAGTAGCAATGTTTTCATTAATAAATCCTTCATAATCATCTTCCCCTCTTAACTGTGATAAAAATTCATTTTTTCTCTTTTTGTTGTCAACTTTTTTTTATTTGCTTTCTTGAAGGAGTTTCATCATACTTTCTCTTACTATACCTATTAATAATATAGTTAAAAAAAAAGAGAAAATTAGTTGCACATGCTTATGTAATTTTATAATTTTTATTAAGAAATTAACAATAATATTTTCAAAGAAATTAAAAAAACATAACATACCAGTAACGTTGGGGCATGGTGCAACATTGCCAGTTTTATGAGCAATGTGTTCTTTAAAACGTGTTATTCCTCTTTTTACAACTTTATCACAAAGTTTACATGAAACATTTCCTCTTATATTTGGCACAGGTGTTCCAAAATACCAACCTATATCATCATTTGACGCTCCTTCTACTCCTTTACTCGAAAACTCTTCACGTGGTGGCATACTTACTATTTTGTATAAAAACAAAATAAACTTATATTTAGAAATATTAATATTACTTATTACATCATTAAAAATTGATTTTATGCTAAATTTTTTAATTTTTAGTTTTTAATCTTAAGAATATTATTAAATAACTTAATCTTTTTGATACACTAATTGATATTATTTTTTTTATCACAAATAACTTCAAATAATTATATAATAAATAAAATCTTCAATAATTACACAAAAATAATAAGAATTAATCTAATATCAAAAGAATTGACAACAATATAAATATCAAAGCAACAAAAAAATTATTAAATTTCATATACAAAATTATAAATTAATATCTAACACAATCAAAATATAATATTTAATTTTAATTAATTTTCATCTAACTTATATAAAAAAATTATCAATAATTTTCATCTACAATATCTATGTATATCATATTAAATTATTAATCTCTTAATTATTTTTAATTATAAATCTTCAATCCCTCTAATTAGATTTTATCTAAAAAAATTTCAAAAATTAAAAGTTTTCAAACTTATATTTTAATAAAATTTTCAAACCTATATTTTTTATTTTTTAGTTTTTAATCTTAATAAGAGTAATAGATCATAAAATGCTAAATTTGTTAAGTAACTTAATTTTTTTGATATACTAATTGATATAAAATTTTTTTTATCATAAACAACTTTTAATAATTATATAATAAACACAATCTTCAATAATTACATAAAAATAACAAAAATTAATCTAATATCAAAAGAATCGACAATAATATAAATATCAAAACAATAAAAAAATATTAAAATTCAAATACAAAATTATAAATTAATATAAAACATAATCAAAATATAATATTTAATTTTAATTAT